TGTGTGTGTGTGTGTGTGTGTGTGTGTGTGTGTGTGTGTGTGTGTGTGTGTGTGTGTGTGTCAGTGGTGGGTTTCAAAAAATTTTGGAACCTCTTCTGTAGGTGTGGCCTGCTTTCCGGGTCCACTGGTAGAACCTCTTCTAACCGGCTTGGGAGATTTGACGAACCGGTTCTACCAAACTGGTGCGAACTGGCAGGAACCCACCTCTGGTTGATATGTTCTCTAAGCCCCACCCACATTCCGGAATGTTCTTTCAGACACCCAGCACCATTTTGGAGTTTAGTTTGTAGGCTGAACTGCAGAAGAAGAAGTCTGCTTCCTCCTCCCATTTGTTGCAATATTTCTGGTAGTGCACTGTCTCCTTTGGCAAGGATAGATATTGGTTTTCTGTCATTTTTATTCTTTTCGATTTGTTTGCTGCCCATGGTTTAAAGCTTATAAATGGGAATTATTTTGCTGATCCTTTAAACTGAGTATCTTTTTCTGATTTTTTACCATACATTGTTTGATTATAGAGTTTTTATATCCTCCTGCAATTAAAATTATTGGAGATTTACTATATAGAAAAAAATATCCATACTATATCTAATTAAAAAGTACAACTGATATATAATAAAACACTTTAACGTACATCAAGAGCCATTTTTGAATTATACAAAATCTACACAAAAAGCTGAGTTTACCTGAATGTGATCAGGGAGCTGTCATTTTCCTAAATGTGATCAGGGAACTACAGTATTATAGTCAAGAATGTTCTCAAAGGTCAGCAGTGCTTCTAGTTTCATTCCCCCTTTAATTCACGGATGTGAATGAATATGAATTGATTTTCTTGGGATGATTTATTATGTTGCACCTAGTTTTGTGAAGCAAAACCAACTGACTGGAAGCCAGTACAAGGTACAAGACTTCAACAACTAATGTCAGTTAACACATGGCTTCTTGCATTCTGGTTCAATAGTAGCTTCTGCATGGTGTTTAAAGGTAATCCCACATAGAACGTATTACTATTGTCCTAACCGGGTGATAACCAAGCCATGAATTGCTACATCATGTTGCATTTGGTCTTAGGTCATGTGCACTAGGCAAAGCTTGACAAAGACCATCCTGGGCACATTCCACTTGCTGCTCTGAATAACAGCTGGGACTCCAGAAAGACTCTCCAAGGTATATTGGAGCAACACTAACATTGACAGAGAACTTTGATGGATAAGTGGCATCTCTGTCTTGCTTGGCTTCAGTGTCAATCTCTTCCATCCCCATCAGGGTTTGACAGTTTCCAAGTACTGGAATAAGACATTAACAGCATTTCTAATCCAGCGCTCAAAGGATAATACCAGAATAGAATAAAAACGGGTCCAAATATGCTATCTGAAAATTCTGACACTATATGCTAGACTATGATTATTTATTTATTTATTAGTTGAATTTGGATTTCAGAGAAATCTATCAGCTTTCTATCATGGCTATTCCAAATGTGCTTTATGTTCTGCTTCCAAAATTTACTTCCTACTTCTTGTATGTGTAAAGATGGGTGTACATTTAAAAATAAATAAATTTCAATCTTGTCTTTTGATTAATGCCACTTAAAATAACTTTAAAATATTAAGATACAATTAATCATACAAAAACATTATTCAGAGTAACTTACCTGGAATCTAAACAACAAATTAAATATTTGTATAAAAGCCCAGATTTTTAGACTTTTAATGGCAGAGTATAGAGGTTTAATGAATATTATCATGGGTACAGAAAGTATATATGGCTGCTCCTTTCAGAACTTAAATGATTCAACATGTCAAATATATACAAATACTTCCATCCTCAGTTTCATAACAGTGAAGTGAATCCCACAATTAATTCCCTATTAAAAATGCTCCAAATGTGTTCAAAAATATTACTTAAAAATATTTCAGTGTTTATAGAGTTAGTAATAGAATATTACAAGTTTGATGGTTCTCTCCTCAAGGCATCTATATAGGAAACAACTGAAGCAAATTATCATTTCAAATAATAAATGTTGACAAAATAATTTGGTATAACATTTGTTTTATTAATATACAGAGACACTATCATTTTCAACATCTTCAGCCATATTATGGTACAGATGAAATGTCCACTTTTTTTCTTTAATTGCTTCTGAACCTTTAAGCTTTCGTTGTAAAGTTCAAATACTTGTTTTGGTCAAGTAATAAGATTCCCTGTAAGTACCCTGATACAGGGCTCTTTCAAAATCGGTGTAATTTTATAAAAGAACTATGGTATTTCATGTTGATTTCCTAATTAACCCATAGAGATTTTTTTAAAAAAAGAGTCAGGTTTTTATGATGTAATTGTAGTTTCTTCTACTTCAGGCAGGTCATCCCAAACAGGTTTCTGAATATGATCAGGAAGTTTCTCTAATTTGGTCTAAAAACAATGGGAAATATATAGTTACATGCTTATGTTGGAATAGTTCATAGATTCTCTAGTTAAATTCTGTAGATATTTTTTAAAAACCCAACACAAAGTGTGAAAACTTAAGAATTCAACATATTTTATATTACATAAACAAGGAGAATGTTTTGATTCCAAATCCAAAGCAAATCATCCTGTTCTAGAAATTGATACAGATACTCCTCAACTTAGGACCGCAATTTGGACTCGAATTTCTGTCATAAGTTATTGTGATCGTAAATCAAGTCAGATCCCATTTTACAATGTTTACAATGATTAAGAGAACCCAGTTCCCCAATGGACTTTTCCCCCAAAATTATGGAAAAAAGAGTTGCGATCATGTGACCACAGGATGCTGCAACAGATTGTAAATGCAAGTCAGTTATCAGGCACTTGAATTTGTGATCACATGACTGCAGGGGCAGTAAGACACTTGCAAGCGCAAGTAGAGATCACTAGTCTCTTTTTACAAAGTCACTGTAATTTTGAACCGTCAATGATCATAAGTAGACGACTACTTGTATGCATTGCCCCCACTCCCTGCAGATCCTAGCCTAGTATAGCTTATCAATCTTCCAATCTTCCCACCTGCCCTCCTCCCTTGCTTGCTTCTGTTGTTGTCTCAATGTGGCATTCTCCCATAGACACACAACTGCTCTTCCACCCCCTGTCTCTCCTCAGCTGCTGACAATCTTTTTTTCCTCCCCCCAACCCACCATTTTTGCCCTAATCAAAACAGCTGTTTTATTGTGTGCACAGTGCTTCCAACACAAAAGCAAGTGATTGTGTTCAGGAAGGTATTTCTTTGGTTTCAGTCCAGGCCATTCTAAAATAGCTGCTCCATGCACAGAAGAATTTGTACATGAAACATTTTGCACACCCCTATAAACAGAACAAAATTAGCAATACCTTTTTGACTTCCATGGCAACCCCTTCTGGTAGATTTCGCTGAATGTATTCCAAGTAAACATTGGCTGTGCTACCAGTTAAATTCTTTAACTGAAATAGAAAGCACTGTTATACTTTTCCGGTAACAATAATCTGGGCAATAATCTGCATGTAAAGGTAAAATTAGGTAGCAATTGTAAATAGTGTCTGACTTAATAAGAGTTTTCTCCTAGATTGAATCACCCTGTATTTTCTTTACATTTGCTTGACTCCAGAAAATCAAAATATAAAGCCTGCATATGGCTATAACTACCTATCATGTTAACAAATATCTAACTTGTTGAGAGAAGGTATACACTCTTTTCAAAAACACTATTTTCTGTGCGTTCTATGTACCTATTATTTTGTAGTTGAACATGCAGCTGTTTACTTACCTCTATATACTGATAATGTGTTCTCATTTCATATTGAACTCTGTGCTTCTTATAAATGTGTACTGATTTCAGAAGCGTTAATCTTTCTACCTTTTTAGGAGGCTTTTCTCTAAAAAATAATAACATTTTAATCATGTAGTCACCTATTTCTGAAATTACAGCCAACAATATAAATAACTGCAATTATTTAGAAAGTTGGAAAAAGAAAAAGAACAAATTAAATTGAGCCTTCATCTGGAGGGGATGTGTTCTTTCCTACTCAGGCTATGTAGCAGTTAAATTACATAATTTGGGATCTAGATTATCTAATGTAGTGTAATGTATTGAAGTGCAGATCTTGGAAGTAGGCAACAGACAATGCATATAAATGAAAAGGTAAAACTTCAAATCGAGGTACCGTATTTTTTCGGACTATAAGACGCACCCGTGTATAAAACACAAGATTTCGAAGAGGTAAGTAAGAAAAAAAAGTTTGTGCCTTCCCTCAGTCCCCAGTAGCACTCTGCAGGCTTCAGCAGGGCTGGGGCAAGACAAACATCAATTTTATAATATACATATAATTCAATTGTGATAGAATGGAAGGTGACTTTGCTTAAAGTTTACTTTGAAACAATTATTCAAACAGATTATATAACATCAAGACTTGTTTTATTTTAGGTCATAAGCCTACAAACAAAAGTTCATATAGCTTAATTAGTCCAGACTCTTTCTAAGACTCACTCTTTCCTAAGACATGAGTTCAAATTGGCTCTACAACAGCAGCATTGGTTGCTCTGGTCAATGACCTCTGTAGGGACTAAATGTGGGGAATGTCTCCCTTTTAGACTCTCAACAGTGTTTAATATAATCAATCATTATACCTTTCTCACTGATCGTAGGAACTGAGAGTTGAGTACACTGTTCTGTGGTGATTCTACTGTTTAAGCAAGTGGTTTCTATCATGGGTTAGGATTCAGATTCCTGGTAACAATAACATAGAATACCTTAGGACATGGGGCTTTCCCCATATATTATTAAATATGTATATGAAATTGCCAGTGGTTTGAGCTGAAATGTCATCAATATATGATACCTAATTATGCCCATTGTCTGAGGTTCAATTGTGATGAGCTCAAGGTTGAGTCAGTCTTCCATCCTTCCAAGATCGATAAAATGAGGACCCAGATTGTTGGGGGCAATATACTGACATTGAAAACCACTCAAGAGAAAAAGTTTTTGCCTTCCCTCAGCCCCCAATAGCACTCTGCAGGCTTCAGCAGGGCTGGGGCAAGGCAAACATCAATTCTATGAAGCAGTATACAGGTAGTCCTCAACCTATGACCACAACTGAGCCCCAAATTTATGTTGCTAAGTGGGAAATTTGTTAAGTGAGTTTTGCCTCATTTTATGACTTTTCTTGCCACATTTGTTAAGCGATTCACTGCAGTTGTTAAATTAGTAACACAGTTGTTAAGTGAATCTGGTTTCCCCATTGATTTGGCTTGTCAGAAGGCTGAAAAAGATGATCACATGACCTCAGGACACTGCAACCGTCATAAATGCGAGTCAGTTGTCAAGCACCCGAATGTAAATCATATGACCATGGGGATGCTGCAAAGATTGTAAGTGTGAAAAATGGTCATAACTCATTTTCAATGACGTAACTTTGAACGGTCATTAAGTAACTGTTGTATGGCAAGGGCTATCTGTATAAGTGCTAACACTAATGCTAATTATACATTCCTACTCTAGGCTAAGCTGAAGATAATATAAAAGCCCTAAATTGGTACCTGAAAGATCTGGATAAGAAAACAAGCTGAGACTAAATTCCACCAAGTCAAAATTGCTAGTTGTCCATAAACATCTAGATAGCATAATAACATTGGCTCAGCAATTGCACCTGATGGAGCCACACTCATCACAAAGGAGTTGGTTCCTGACTTGGGGATTTCCCTGGACTTTCAGCTCCTGCATACATAACAGGTGAAAAATGTAGTCAAAGTAGATTTCACTGAGCTCCAACTCTACTTAGACCAAGAGGTCCTAGTAATAATAATCCATGCCCTGATCATCATTTGGTTGGATTACTGTAATAGGGTCGGTGTGGCTACCCTTGGAGATGAACACAGATGCTATAACTAGTACAAAAGGCAGCTATTAAAACAAAGACATCAAACTTGAAAAAACCCTATTTTGAAGCCAACTTTCCTTGCAAATGTCATGAAACATGAGTAGACAGCAGACCTGGTCAATGACTCTCATTTTATTAAATAGCTTTCCCCCCAGATACATGTAGCCCTGAATTTAAAGGGAGTTTACAATCAGACTAATATTTTTCCAATCCATGTTTTATTTTATGTTTAGTTTATTTTGACAGGCATCATGATGCTTATTATTGATTCTTTTAAAAAAACATTTTAATTTTGGTTACTGCTTTAACCTTCTATCTGTCTACAGTCTACAAGGAATGAAACACGATATAAATATGAAATAAAATAACTCATAGAGCAGTTTACCCCAAGCTGATTCTGGACTCAATTACACTGACAGGTGACATGCTATCCTTCACTGGACATACTAGAAAATAATGCCAGTATTCTTTAATTTGGGAAACTCCAACTGAACACAAAGTAATGGCCTAAATGGCCCATTATAATTGTGTTCTTCCAGTTTGATTTTTGTTCTTTGGACAATTAGTGGAACTATAAGATTTGGAAGTATGTAATGCAGTGAGTTAGTCAATTTGGGAATAAAGCTCTAGAAAGACTGAGTAAGTATAAAGATCAACAGTACTTACATTTTTTCAATGGAGAGACCAAGTTCTTTTGCAGCTAGCACCATGAAATACTCATAACTGTCCAACACAGCTCTATCATGCCCCTTAACTAAAATAGCCAGTCTTTTATATAATATATCTGGCTCATCAGAAACAGATACCTAGTTTGGAAGCAAAGAGAAATAATTTAACATCAGCATTCTAAAGGTGTCACCCTGAATACAGTTATTATGGTTTAAATATAAATTATCCGATACATGTTAAAATTAAGCAACTGTTATTCTTCCACCTTTTTCAGTTTGTACAAATATAACTTAGATCATAGTTTAATTTCTTAGTTGCTGAAAAAGTATTCACTGAAAATCATCACACATACCAGCGGATTCTTTGCGGGCTGTTGAATATTATTGTTGGCCCTTGAAGATTGAATCCATATCAAGTGATTATTTCTGAAAATTAAAAGGTATGAGTTACTTTGGAACTGTCATTGGTCATAAAAACTGAAGTCGTAGCTTTAATATAGCATTAACTCAATGTGGCAAACTTACTTAAGAAAGTTATGCTGCTTTAATGGAACTTTGCGTGCTACAAGAATTTTTTCTGGCCCCTAAAAAATAAAAAGTACATAGTTAATATTATATTACATGAACTCTATCATTGGTAGTTTTCCAGAATTTTATCTCAAACTACAGATTTTTTAAAAAGGCAAAAAGGGAAACTAGATTATTGATATTAAAGCCAATACATATCTACAAACTGCCTCTTCATTTGATTATAGAATCTTTAATATATTTTGTTCATGGTCAACACTGCTTCAACAACTGAGCAACTGGGCAACTGAGATGAGTGGTGTAAAAATATGATGAATAGATGATTAACTAAACAACTCTGAAGACTTGCATCTTGAGATCCAATGGGTCTCTCACCATCCATTCAGACCAAAAGATTTGCTTTTTCAGGAATACATGATTTGGCATCCATGTGTGCTTAGTGCTTTCTATAGTGACAGAATTTTTCATTGGGAGTGAAACGTTGTTATTATTTCACACACAGTAACAATAGTTTTAGAGTTTATAGTTCTATTAATACAGAAGTCAGTCTTTAATCGTTTACAGAAGAGATTTCTTCATATGTGGTGTGTTATTACATAGCTTTGAAAAGCATAAACATAAATTTCCAAAAAACAAATCTTTTTTAAAAAGTCAGCCAAATGTCACCCAGGACTGATGAAAGCCACATTGAACTTGCTGGTATAAAGATAAGAGCAGTAATTATGCATGTGTGCATGTTTTATACAAACATATAGCTATGCTCAGTTTAATTTTGTTAAATTGGATTGCAAAATAGTCTAAGGAAATCTATGGACCACTGAAAGAATGGTCCCTAGATTCCTTTAGACTATTTTGCAATCCAATCCAGTCCAATTCAAATAAATATAAATTGTGCTTAAAATCAATCTAAAGGTTAGCAAGTTTAAAATTCTGCAGTAATTGCCAACAAAAGGTTGAAACATTTCAATTGAAGATTCAAATCCATGAGCCCCTTTCATTATTATTGTCAGATTTATAGGAGTTCAAGGTGATGCATATTGCACCTCTTCCCCCACTTTTGCCCAGGCACCACTCTGAGTGTGAACTGGGGTGAAAGAAGGAGACAAGTCCAAGTCACCCAGTCAACTTCCTTGTCTGAGAGTAAACTAAATCTTGGATGTATTTCTGATGCTGATCTACCTTTTTGACTTATAACAGCAGCATACAATGTGTTTCCCGTTTGCTAATGTGCCTTTGGAACCAGTCTAAGTTCGCTTAGGCAAAATTTGCCCCATAAACAGAACCAAAGAGGTATTATTTAAAGCTATTTAAGTGCCAGCACGTTACAATTGTTTGTTAGAAATGTAAACACTCAATTTGGCGTTCTCTGCTTTTTGTGAAGCAGGGGTAACTACCCGACCACTCTTCCCCAGCCGGGGCGCCGGTTCAAATGCACCGAATTACAACTAACCTTCCCAGCCGGTTGATTAAGATCAATACAAACCGCGTAGCCGGCAAAGGCTGGTATATAAATTTGCTCCCATCCCCGGAAACCCCTCAAACACCAACATTACCTGCCAAAGCCGGCTTAGAAGGGTCAAAGCCGCTCGCGCCGCCATCTTGCCCGCCCCTTCCACAACTTCCTCTTGCCGAGATACCATGGAGTTTCCCTACTCAGACAGCCTAGAGCGTCGGTTTCGGCCTCAGGAAACCGACTTATAAAAGTGAAAGTAGGGGGCGGTAAGTCCTTCTTGGTCCGCCGGAAAGGTTTTTCTACGCCGTTTACGAGCTCTCATCTCTTTCAAGAAAAGGCGGTGTAAAAAAAGATCCATTGACGCAAAGAGCCCCAGTTACTTTGCTTTCCAAAGCTGATGAGGGACTATTGTTAATTATTATTGTTATTATTTTTGCAAATACGTCCAGGAGAAATAAACCTGCACTGCAGGGACTGTCAATACAAACCTGTCTGAAGTGGGGCGAGGCTTGAGAGACGCACCGCACTGTGACCAGGTTGAGGGACTGCCGCCTATAGACAGCGGGGCAGCGCTACTCAAGGTTGGATGACAGTCCTAGAGAATAGAATGGAATAGGAATAGAAATATAATTCTTTAATGGCCAAGTATGATTGGACACACAAGGAATTTGTCTCTGGTGCACATTCCAACAAATCTCTCCGAGAAGGGGATGTTAAAAGGAAAGGGGACAGTGGGATCCCCATTTTGCCACACGCAGAGACCAAATGCATAGTTTACTACGCCATGGTAGAGCAGCCTCGCGAGGTTACACGCCCCAACGCCCCGACTCCGGAGCAAGGACGAGGCTGCCTGCTGTTTCCGATCGCGCTTGATAATGGTGAAAGCAGCCAAAGGTCTCGGTGTGAACATCCCCACAGTGAAATCACCTTGTAGCATCGTAATCAAATTTCAGACCGGTCGCTAATCCCAACATCTTAATAAAAGGACTGAATTATGCCGTAATCGACCGTGATTGGTGAAATGTTTCTATCAGGATTGTTCAACGCTGCTTTACAGTGTGCCGCCCTTGCATTTCCGCCCTGGTTTCTGAACCCAAAGCTTAACGCTCGGGTTGCAGCGTAGAAGAAAAAGGAAAAGAAACTGGCTAAGGTGGCGCTTCTACGGCCTTTTTGCCTCAATCTCTCGCCGTTCGAGTTCATCTGGTAACGCTTGGATTCAACTCCCGTCCAATTGCGGGAGTGCTTTGTGCAAGCGATCGGTTTTAATCATGTGAACGCGAGGATCCAAAGCAGTCAGTAGATCACAAAACTTGATCAACTGTCTTTCTGTGTTCGAGACGGGCGCCCACGAAGAGTTCGAGCACACGACACCGGAAGAAGGTGGAGCAGAAAACCGCCAGCTGCGTTTATGGAACCCTTCCAGTAACTTTAGAAAAATACGTCCAACGTTCAATATTTTTCACACTTAAGCAACTTTTAAGATGTGTGAATTTATGCTCTAGAATTCCCCAGCCAGCATTCTGGGAGTTGAAATCCACACTTCTTAAGGCTGCAAGGTTTGAGAAACTCAGCTATATGAAGTCACTTAGCATAGGTTCCTTATTAACAAAATCATGAGACCGTCTTTATGTTTTAATTCATTAAAAATACTTTTGATCCTTAATATTACTTTTTAAATTAACCAGCTCAATCATTAAGTGATATATATATAGAGAGAGAGTTACAACCCCCGGTATGCCCAAATATGGGAGGAGGTTCACTACTTCCATTCTCTGTCCATCGGTTGGCAGGAGACCATCCAGACAGAAACCCAATATTTTTACTGTTGCCTTTGTTACATTTGTGTTGTATATAAATAATCAGCACATATACAACATATATATATATGTGTGTGTGTGTGTGTGTGTGTGTGTGTGTGTGTGTGTGTGTGTATGTTTGTATGTATGTGCGTGCGTGCATGCATGCACGCACACACACATACATATACATTTAAAAAGTAAAATTAAGGATCAAAAGTATTTTTAATGAATATATATGAATATTTTAATGAATATATATATATATGTCCCAATTCCAATACACAAGGCATTTTGAGGTGCACAGAATGAATTGTACTAGGCCAAAACTGTTACATAATCCTGTATAGATCTGTCGCCAATTGAGATCAGTTGGTAAGGTGGTTTATGAGAGGTGTTTGTAGAAGAATGTTTGGGTTCCTTGGCCTTGGAAGTTTGAGGGTAGATGGAAGTAGGATGCAGAGAGAAAAGAGTGGAGGAACTGAGGTGGGTTGCTCCTCGTTCGGCCTGGTTCAGCCAAACCAGTATTGGCGGCAGTGGGAGGCTCTGCCCACCTGCCTGGATGCTTTTGTGCATGTGCAGAAGTGTTGCACGTGCATGCAAGCACACCAACATGAGTGAACCGGTAGTAAACCGCTAGCAACCCACAGATATACATTAAGGGTGCAATTGGCAGTTGAAGTTACAGCAGCAATCTGGTAGGCTGCGTTAAAAAAAGATGGGATTGTTAACTGACAATTATCCTACCATCCAGTCCTTTGTATTTGCCCCTGAAGCCAGATCACTGGATGATTGGTAACCCTGGGTTCCTGCTGTTGCTGCTTCTGAATACAAGATTGACTTGTAATAAGCCTGACCCACACATACACATGATCTGTTAATGAAGGAGACAGCTGACTTCATCTGAAGTGGTGTAGAAATTCCTGCCTAAGCAGGGGGTTGGACAAGAAGACCTCCAAGGTCCCTTCCAACTCTATTATTCTATATTCTCTTTTTTATGACTTGTTGCATATACTGAGACCTAGTGGGCCAAAGAGGAGAGGGTATAAGTTCACTTGGGCTTCATGACTGCAGCGATTGACTGTGGGGGAAATGGGGTGATGGTTGTCATCTGGGGCTCTGCTTCAGAAACAATTGGATGTGAGACCCTTTTGGCTGAAGCTAGGTTCAAAGGAACCATTGAGCTGCTGCACTGCCCTCTCTCCTATGCAGCCTCATCTCTGTCCAAACCACTGCACTCCAGTGCAGTGAAACAGTGGTGGGTTGCAGATGGTACACCCTGGTACGGGGGTAACAGAGCCTGCCCGGAGCACCAGATACCATTCCAGTACGGTACTCTGGAGGGCCCGCCCGCCTGAGCTCCTTATCGGTCTTTTAAGTCTTTGGTGCTTCTGCGCATGGCACATACAGCACCTGTGCAATGCTCCGCTGAGCAGCTGGAGCGTTGCAGAGGCTTGCAGAGACGCTAAGATGCATGCGTGCGTCCATGTGGATGCTGCCGGGCCCGTTCCAACTGATCTGGAACCCACCACTGCAGTGAAATCCCAAGGCTGATAGTGCTTTGGTACTTTAACTTCCTCCCAAGTGACCTGAAATCAGTAGTAGTTCAGGAATTCATGGCACAATAATTGAAGGCACAACACAATTAAGGTTACATATTATTTTGTTTGAACAATTAAAAGGTAGAGGTGAAAGACATTACTATAGGAAAGGTCGATTTTTGCCTTGTTGGTGCTACTTTCCCTTCTCCTGGAAAGTAGAGCCTTTAATCACCCCAAGTGACGTTAAATTTGGAGGGAGCTTGGGATTTTCCCTGAAGATCTGCTTGGTCATTTGGGTGTGGTTTTAAGTCTGGAATAACCAAATTATGGGGGCCTTGAATCAAATTGTTCTTGTAGGACTTCTCGCTGTACAATATAGCATTGTTTACTATATAGCTATAGTAAATGAAGCCCAAGTGTGAGTTCTGTTGGCAAAAGGCAAAGAGCAAGATGTAACAAATAGGTTCTGGAATCCTTTTTGTTTGCTTTAGCAACAATGGCCATACTTCACTATGTATGTGTGTGTTGGAATTTGAATCACACGACTGGAGGGAAGAGGGCTTAGATTGGTGTACAGTATTTAATAATTTTCTGAGTTTCTGCCCTATTGTCTCCTCCCTAAGGATGCAGTAGGGAATTACTGCATAATTCTTTTTCTAACCAACTTCAAACTCTCTTTTGGACTGCCCCTATTTATATCAAAATTTGATCCTGTTCAGGTTCAGAAAAGTACCGTGTTAACTCCTTTATTTTCACTATTCCGCAGTTTGAAAATATGAAACCAAAAAACAAAATGCTGATTCTTTTATTTAAAAGATTTTTTTCCATCACATGAACATTTTTTAAACAAAGTATATCTTATCAAAAGTATAAAATACTGTTTCTCCCTGCAAACTCTTACAGAATCCCTTTGATTTTACAATTGCCTGTCAAAAAAAAAAGCTATATAATTTATACACAGTACTTGCTTTTAATTATGTACCAGGTACAATGCATGCTTCATTCTATCTCATCAGAGAAAAAGGAAATTGCCCCCTCCCATGTAATATATTATGAAATTAAGAATTTAGTGCAAACCTGACCCAATTACATCCTGAAATTAAATCACATGCAACTCAGGTGTAATTAAGCCATAACAGGCAAACATTTTATTATAAAACAAAATAATAAAAAATGCTAAATGTTTTTAAACCAAATATTTTTACACTACACTATACCTCAGAAATTTACAACTTTTTGTAACAATCAATCAGCAGTTAAATACTTCTGAAAATAAGATTTTTCCATTAAAATATATTTTCCTTTTTTCTTAGGTTATGTGCACTTTTTAACTAATTTGTTACTGAAATTACTGTGATAAACACAAAATTTCAGTAATAGAACCTCCCCACACACAGATTTTCTGGCAAAATATTGAAGCATATCTCAACATTTTTATAGAAGTACCAATATTCTTTCAAGGATTTTTTGAGATTCCTTTAGGGTAAAATATGTATTTTATGACATCTCTGTATATCCAGAGTAATTGCTTTATAGAATTTAAAATGAAACCATGCATTATCAGGTTCACCATGAATTAGTCCAAAGATCAATTGCAATACCGTCAATTTTACTAATACCTTCCAGTACATTGAAAGAAAGAATCCAATGGCACTAGTGCGGTTATAAATCTAAAGAAATAATCAGGAACAATTTTATATTAGAGCCTTATTCTAAGGAAACCTAGAAATTTATAAAATCTTGAAAGAGCCTCCAAGTATGCTGGACTATAATTTTCACACTGGATGAAAATTTTGAGACATAGTCTCACCTCATCTGATGGACGTAGTTTGTGGAACACTAAAACCTAATGTTATTTAGA